TACTAATTTAAAAGAAAATTTTTTAAGAATAATAAACCTGATGACGCATTTCCTGGCTCGGATTGCGTCATAATTCCAACTACTGAGACTATCTGAAGATGAGGATTAGGAGAGTAAAGATTATCGGATATCACATTGAGGCGTTGCCTAACCTTTGTTGTGTTTCTCTAAATGGCGTTTGAGGTGGTTGGTGCCGCTTTTATGATGAGCTTGGAAAATATGGACGCACAACGCACACTTTATCTTCTGGGTGAAAAGCCTACCGTGTTGATCTCTGGTGACTTCTATCTTCTCGAAGAAGTTCCACACATCGGATCTCGGTCTTTTAGGAGCTCTTGGTGCAGAACCATAACTATCAGCTTCGTGATCAACATCGGTAGGAGTAGGAGTAGTAGTTCTAGATCATGTAGTAGGAATGTTATGATTCATTTCAACATCGGGAGTTGAGATTTGCCCTTCATAATCAGAGGATGAAGTCATTTGATTGAAGAATTAGAGAGCAAAAGCGAGTATTAGAGAGTATTAGAGAGAAGTAGATGAGTTTTGGATGAGAAAAACAAATAAAAACCCCCTCTATTTATAGAAACAACCCTAGGCAAATGACCAAAATACCCTCAAATTTTGTTTTTTTTTGCTGTTTTTGAGGGTATTTTGGTCAAAAAATAAAAATTAGCCGTTATTGTCGTTCGGACCGGGCCGGCCCGCCAGCCCAGCCACAATTGGTCACATTCTGACCGTTGTAATTGTCGCTTATTTTTTTCAAAGTCAGAATGGCTCTACTGCAAAACTCCCTCAAATCAGCTGAACTTTTACAAATTACATAAGGCTTTATGGTAAAAACTCTTCCAAATACTCAAGTAGGATTTATGGTAAATTAACCCCAAACAAATATTAGACTCTAATAAGAGTCCGTTTTCGCACATAAATCCCCGTATATATAAAGCGAACTCTCAACCAATACAGACGAGCCGCGATTAGACCCGAAACCGAACCAAATCCCCCCCTCCTCCCTCGACCCACTCTTCGCGACGGAGCTGCGGCGCGCGGAGCACTGGTCACTGAGCGAGAGCACGCGCGAGGCGGCGCGGCGACGAGAGTCGTGCTCCGACACCCCAAGTCCGTCAACACCGGGCCCCGTCGTTATCGTCGCGAATACGAAGAGAAAGATATGCGATCCGGGAAGAACAAAGAATCATCGGGTATCATCGATTGTGATCTTATGGAAGCTACGAGCCCCAATGGTGGTTGGGTTCACCGAGAAGGGTAGGAGAAGAAGAAGGTGAATAAGTGTGAGTTTGTTGGTATGTATGTGTTCTGTAAGAGGTATTTTATGTCGTCGATTTGGGCTCAATATATATATAATTTATATATATATATATATAAGTTGTATGTGTAAATTATTTATGTATATATTGATGAATTCAGGGCCTTGTTTGCAAACCCTATTATTGCATGTGTTTTGATGGAGAAATTGAGTTGGAAGAGCAAAATGAATTATGAGCTCGATCAGTTCTTTATTGCTTGCTTTCTGTGTGGATACTTGTCTCTTTAATCTTCTTCATTATTATTGTTGTTAATATGTGATGTCTGGTAATCTATTAGGAACTAGCTTAATTTTCCTAAACTTATAAAGCCAATGTAATGTAAGGGGTTAGCTTCTTGTTATCCTGAACAAAACTTTTTTATTGAAACTTCAGACCATTAGATGTTCATGTAGAATTATGTCTAGTTATCTCTACCTCTACTGTAGGTGATGATATGTGTTTATTACATCCAATATTGTATAATCGGTGAAATCTCTGCAATATGATGTAACATTAAACACTCTCTTTACAACACATTAACATCACATGACATCCACACGATAAGTACAAATAACATAGATATAACCTCACATTGTGGGATCGAACTTTTAAGTATATATACTAAGTAAAAAAATAGAGATAATGGAGTGCCTAACACTTATCTATTGATCCTATAAATTTAATCTCTCGCAAAGTACAATGGAAAGGTTTCCAGCTATAACTATTACTATTATGGGAAATCGTTAGCTATTAAGCGGTACCTAAGCCGTCCGCCTTAGGTTTTAAGAGGGCCTAAGAGAGTATGGGTCGCTTATGCGAAATGTACCGTTTTAGGTCTTGATCGTGATTTATTCCACTGCCGCTTCCATGTCCTCTGACCCCCTCTAATCTCTTCCATTGACCACAAATACCTCCATGACCTCCTTCGACCTTCAACAATATCTACTCTACCACCACTTCACCAAAAAGAGAAATCGGTCGAGGTCCCGAATCGTACGTTCAGTAACATTGATTATGGGTATTTAATCTTTCATACACACCATGGAAACCAAGCTTCATGCAAATAAGATTCGGTCGTAATTAAGGGAGGAGTACTTGGTTGCTGTTCGATGACCTTTTCATTTTCTGCGTTTGCAAACTGCTAACACTTTGCCCTTCAGAAAAGAAAAAGTGTAGATCGCATGGATCGTTTTTTTGGTGTGTGAGATGCATGGATAGTTTTCGTTTGGTTGTTTGGTTTTAATTGGTCGCATAGGATTTAAGAGTGGTTCACAGCAGAAAAATTTGGGTTTGGCTTGTGTTACTTTTCTGATGAGAATTTTAAAACGGTAAAACACTAACCAAAAATGGATGTTATTGTTTCATATGAACTTCAAATTTTAACCTGCGCGCAATGCTTATATTGACTAAGAAAAGAGGTGCTGCTAGATAAAAAGTTAGGATTTACCTTTGTAAATAAAGGTGGAAAAATGAGGCATCTTAAAAAAAAAGCTAATTATTCGAGCTAATCAAGTAAGTGATAATGTGCTCATCAATTCATTGAAACATGACCAGGAAACTTCAAATCTACATACTCCTAGGTCCGACTACTGATAGGATCCTTATGCACCCCAGAAATGTAAGGAACTTCAATAAATTTGAGGAAGAACATGAGCAGAAAATGAAAGTCTCTAATTTGCAACCCCAATTCCAAAAATCAAACATGGGATTGGGATTTCAAGCATCATAGTCCCAAGGACTTCGAATATGGAACGAAACATGGGACTGAGATTAGTACTCCCAATCCCACATAATCCCAGTTCCAACTCATGTCCCAGTCCCAGTCTCGTCGGAGTCTTGTCGGGAACCAGACGCTGCCTAATTATTCTAACCAGCATAGAACTGCATAACATGACATCCGTTCCTGAAAATTAGCACTTAATTGTGCAGTTGAAAGACAAGGGACATCCAAGAGCGATTACAGACAGACAAATAACTAATTTTTTTTAAGCGACAGAGTCTTAATACAATAATGAGAGGCGAACAAAAGTTAGAAAAAGTATATGTAGAAGATAAATAGATCCCACAACCTCGCTTTATAAAAGAAAACTACAGATTATATGGATAGTGGGAGTGTCAAAATTCAACAAGAAAGGCTGCACCGAGAGCGATATGTGACAATGACATGTCCATTGCAAGTAGGGCAAATTAGCTACTAAGGCTCTTTGGTTTCTCTCTTTCCATGTCGACTGAAGGTTTGCAATGGCTTGCAGATTCTCATGTGCTATGTTGATTTGTTCTGGTGTTTATGGATACCCCAGTCAAGCATATATAGATCGAACGCTGACGCGGACCCATGAGTTGAATCAGATATATTGGTTTCCATACTTGTCTTGCAAAGTAGCGCGCGCTTACGAAACAAGTGATGATAAGATTCCTTTTCATTATCATCTTCATAAAATATATACTGATATCCATCTTCTAAATGAAGGGGTTTTCGTCCAAATTAAGAAACTATGCTGAACTTTCGAAATTTAGAGACCATGGTGTAAATTCATGATTCAAGGTGATGTTTTCAGCTCAACATGGAATGCTTAATGGAGTCTTGCTGAGAATATCGATGATGATGAATCTCTATGGAGATCAAGAAGAATAGCTTTCTGTATGTCATGCATATACACGTATACGTATGGTGTGCCTGGTTTGATGTATCTTAAAACTGAATAAATTCTATCAACTGATTGCAGATGCGTTAGAAAACTCGCTTTGAGCTCTATGAAAACACAGGATTAGAAACAAGTGAGGATATTTAAGTGAGAATTAAAGAAGACTAAAGGGCATGCATTTAAGTGCAATTAAACCTTCTTTTTGTGATGTTTACTAGTTTTCATTCAGTCAGCAAGTACAAACATAATTAACTTCATAATTACCTCGGAAAACATTGCTACACTAAATTTCAGGAGGTTAAACCATATTGGTGAGAGGCTGTATAAATGGAGTTTTGTTCACTTGACATTTGAAAAAGCAACTAAAAAGAGAGCATAAATCCTATGTAAGTTGCCGAATAATCGATTTAAAATAAGTACGCCTTCAATGAATTGTTTGGCATACACATCACGCACTTTTGTTCACTTGACATTTGAAAAAGCGACTAAAAAGAGAGCATAAATCCTATGTAAGTTTTGTTCACTTGACATTTGAAAAAGCAACTAAAAAGAGGGCATAAATCCTATCTAAGTTGCGAATAATCGATTTAAAATAAACTACTTGGGAGGATTGCTGATAAACTCCCTTCCTAAACGATCCATACCTTCAATGAATTGTTTGGCATGCACATCGCGCAGTTCACACAAATTAGTATGGAAAAGATTCATACCTTCAGTTCACACAAGTAGTTTTCCGATTTTGTATGCCTTCAATGAATTGTTTGGCATGCACATCGCGCAGTTCACACAAATTAGTATGGAAAAGATTCTGCGTAATATTCTAAAGGGTTGATTGCTGATAAACTCCCTCCCTAAACGATCCATACCTTCAGTACCATTCATAACCTCCCAAGTAGTTTATTAGAACTTATCTCTAGGAGTAACATTTTGAGAAGGATAAATTGCAGACAGCCCCTTCTTTGTGATAAGCACTAACAAATGAGTTGAAAGCTTATAAGTACAACTAAAGATGAGAGAAGTTATCGGCAATTTGCTCAAATAGTCCATGACACAAGGTTAATACTTTCAGGAGCCATAAGCTAGTTGAAAATTCTGCCGCGCTGTAGTCCCAGTTCCAAAACATCATAAAAATAAGCCTGGAAATAATCAAACAGCTAGATCAATTGCAAATCACAAATATATACATCAATAAATGCTTACACCTGCTTTGCCAATTGCCATTTAGCTAATAAGCCTGTGGATATTGAACTTCCGCTAGATGTACTTCCTGATACTATATTTGAAGCAGTTGTTCGAATTCCTAATGCTAAGCAACTGAAACAAGTTACTGCAGAAAGACGAGAAAGCAAGTCCATCAAAAGAAGTCCCTGCCATTCTGCATTCCTTTACTTGGAAGACTAAAACCCACGCCTTAACTAGGGCAGAACATTTTCATGAATATTCTGCAACCTTTAGCTTGCACTCTTATTGGCCATCCAATATAATCTCAACTAACTGAATATTTCCCTGCAGAGAAGAAGCCTTGATAGATGGCATGATAGAGAAACCATCCAAAAGCTTTACACATTTCAATCTCCACTTAACCATCAAGAACTCGATAAGATGATGACCACTGCAAATCAAGATTGTTACATTTAATAAAATGTCCAAGCAAATAAACTTTATGTTAATTATAGCATCAAATACACGAAAAAGAACATACCTTCGGTTATGATAAGCAGTTATAAACACTGATCCAGGAGACCTTTGTAATAGAAAAGTAACCGTCGCAAAAAGATCTTCAAAATCTTATGAAAGAGGATTGAATTTGTGTTTTAGCCAATGTATATTAGTATAAAAGGTAGATTTTATTAAATATATAAGCTATAAATCTCACCAATTGTGTCATAGAATACATCAGCGCCAAGCAAAATTTGAGGGTGCAAATCAAACATAGGGGAATCCCACTCTCCCCAAGTGATCCCTAATATCTGCAAGTGAAGAGTTCGTTTAATCAGCAATCAAAGAGCTTCTAATCATATTAGTATGAAGTTAAATGGGAAAGGCCTTCATACCTCACAGTTTAGATTATTTAGTTCGCATATTCTCTTCATGTTGTCAAGAACCTGAGGTCACAAATACAAAAGAAAGTAGTTATAGCCCTCTCCAGGACCCACCCAAAAAAAAAAGAGACGTGTCTCCTGCACAGGTCTTGAACATGAAGTTGAATAATCATGAGATAGCAAGTGACCGGGCTTGCGGAAGTTACCAAACAAGATAATACCAGAGAGAGAACATTTCTGATCAACTTTTGCATTATCATTAATTTAACTTTAGGCTTGTGATTAAATTTCAGATATTCTACAGTAAGAGTTCTCAACCAGTACAAATGTTAGAACTTTAGTAACTATATTATCTGGGTACTACTATCATGAAGTCGGACCCACACCTGATACGTACCGAACACTGACGCATACTGGACACTTCTTGGATACTTCTATGATTCTATCATGTCTTACCAAACACCGACACTCATTGAATGTACACATATTTACTCAGATGTGTATGCAGTTATATAATCAATGCCTCAATTTAAAACACTAGTCATATACTTCTGGACCTTTATCCTACACTTCATACCCACTTCCTGAAACTCGTTGGACATGGGCTAAGTCATTTCAGTCCTGACATGGGCTAGATTCATTTCAGTCCAAAGTCGATTTTGAACCATAATTTTGAAGGTTGTTTGGGTATCTAGTTCAAAAACAAGTAGTTTTCCAATTTATGATCTACATAATAAAAGAAACATAAAAATGTTCAATAAACAAGTATTTTTCCAATTTATAATCTACATGATAAAAACATAAAAGTGATTCAACGAATTTGAATTCTCATAACAGGTGAATGAAAAAAAAATATTATTGATCTTATGTAAGTTATTAATTTCAATATGTATATAGTTGTGTCCTTGGACCCTATATTTTACAGAACTAGCAAGTCCTGTACTTGTACTCGCATCCATACCAGTATTTGTACCTATGCTACTTAGTTAAGTAATCTTGGAAAACTCCAATTATCAACTTGAACAGAGTCTATATATATAATTATTTGGGGGGATGACGATAAATAGGGTAAGTAACAAACAAAAGGAACCTATATTTCGTCCAATTCTCACTCAGGGTAGCCAAAGTCTTCCTTTCCCAATATGGATACCCAACTTTTTGTCACAATTAAGTAAATGATAATAGGTAGAAAGACAATTCTCCCCACAAAAGGAGCCAAATGATAATTCACTGTCAATACCTCAAATTTTCTAGCACTTCTATGTCTCTAACATCCTTTTCTTTCTACGTCTCTGTTTCTCATTCTTGTTCTAATTCTCCTCTTCAGTGTCATTTTCTCTCTAAGTGTCTTTTGCCATAACATTAAACTCATTTTTAGTCACTAGCACTGGCCTGTATGGTTCTTATGCATACTAATATCAGAAAATACATACATTGATACTAGTCTGAAATTAAGAAATACTGTTGATACAAAAATAGGGAAAAATGATTTCGACAACACAAGCATAATGGAAAATGAATGAATATGAAGGGATTTTGTTTTCATCTTATTGGTGTTTCCAAAGGATATGCTTTTGATGGACTGACTGAATCACCAAGCAAAATATTTTCACCTTTACATTCAACTGCAATCCCTTATATCCAGCTTCATAAAACTAAACACAAACAGAACAATCTTCATGTTTGCTCAAACCATAATATTGGATTGAGTGTTTTTAACTATATGCATATATAAAATTTACCTCTGGTCGATTTGAATTATCTGTAAGTGTAACATCCGCTCCCAGTTTTGCCGCTACCAAGCCCGGCAAGGAAGTTCCAGCGCCAAGCTGCTCCAAGAAAGGGAAGGTATCAAAGTGTTTGCATTTGAAAGGTCTGAACAATTAACAAAGCAAAAAATTTACAGATTCTTCAAACCACAACATAAAGCAATCAAAACAAAAAGAATGGGACTGCATAATTATTGCGATCCTTTGTTGATTTGGAAAGGGGGAAAATGGGTTTTCGTAAAAAAACGTTCGACATCGGCAGACATCATTCATAATTCAGCTCTACTTACTGCACTTTGACACTGCCAATCTCATGTATTGGTAGCTCATCCACTTTTATCACTTGTATAAGTTGTAGTACCTCGTCTATCTATCAACATATGTGCTTTCCCCCTACATTAATTCAGTTTATACTCTTAAAATTGGTTAGGACCCTTATCCTTCTAAAAAAGCAGCTATTTTAAATATTAAAAGCAGGATGAACATTTGTGAGCAGCGGCCTTTTTCAGCGGTTGTTTTGTTTGTGGGTTGCGTCTCCAAGGAAATTTTTGCAGGTAAGGGATCTTGAAAGATCTAAACTTAAAATCTTGTTTGGTTGCCATGGATGTTGACGGGGATTTGCATGAAGGAACAATCCACCTAAATTTTTGTTTGGCTGCGCATGAATTTTGTTGAGTATAGCCACTGAAATGACAAATCCAATTGAAATCGGCCAAAAAGCATAAATTTCGGGGATCACATTTGATCCACCTATCCATCGTGGCAACCAAATTTCCTAGTATGAAAAATGTCAACCAACAAGTGTATTCGACAAAAAATTACAAGACTTCAAACCTGTGCGCCGCATTTTTCAATACAAGGTTGCAAAATCCTCACCAAAATCGTGCAAGAAAAGATCCCCTTGGAGAACTATGATTGCGAATATTTCAATACCCGAATGAATAATGCTAAAAAAGATCCTTCCAGTCAAATAATATAAAGTTTGAAAGTTAGGAAAAAGAAAAGGTTGGAATTATTACCTCAGCTACAGTGGCTCCAGAGAAGCGAAACCTCTGCTGCCACACATACTCAGCAAGAATGATGCTACAAGGCCATACGAACATGCCGTATTCCTCCTCCATACTCTGCAATCAATCATCGGGCAATAAATAGACGCCTTTGATTTAAAAGAACAACAGTTTTAACAGGAACCTTGGAGATTCTAGCCTTAGAGGGTGGAGGTTAGATTGATTACCTCAATGATGTCGACGAAGAAATCATGGGATCCGTCGGAGGAGTCTCGGCCGAAGTAGTGGCGAGAGATGGTGGTCATGGATTTGGAGCTCGTTGCCGTCGTTGGCGACGATGGATGCGGGGAGGAGCGCGGGGAGGATGACTGAGAGGATTCTTGGGCGGCGCCGCCGCCTCCCATTGCTTCTTTGGGGAGATTGCCTTTCTCCGTGAAAGTTTCCTTTCTGGGGGAATTTTCACGCGCGATAGGTGCCCACCTCAAAAATTATCCCATAAAACCCGCTGAGAAATCTGGGTTGTCTCACAAAACCCCCTCTAAACTTACACTTTTCCCAACGGACGGCGTTTACAGCATCGTCGGACGCTGTTTTGACTATGTAGGTAGGCATCAGGGCATTGTCGATCCAATACCACCGTTAATGAGGTCCGTGGGAAATTTTTGCAAAGCTCAGAAAAGTTTTCTGAGAGCTCGGAAGGGTTTTGTAGGAAACCCCCGAAAGTTGCGGGGGCGTTTTGGCCGACACGAGGGTGTCCGTGGCTCCTTCTGGTTAAATTATACACGCACAATGCGTCATATAAATGACATTTGATGTCCGATATAAAATCCAACATTTTCAAAGTAATTACTAAAATTATGAGTGATAAAATCATCAAATTTGATAAATCTACGGGGCATAATTTCAAAAGATTAAAATTCCTTAAATTAGGCAAGCAAATAGGGGTCTTTAAGATAAATTGAATAATCTTCAACTATATTTGATGGTTCAGACCTAGGCCTCTTAGATTTTGACATTATACAATTTCGAAATTGGAAATGGAATAGGAGAAGAGAACTTACCAAACTAGTGAAACCTAGATGTAGTCGGCTAATTGAGGTTGTAGTCGACTACTGAGACTGGAAAACTCAAAGTAGAAAAGAAATTTGATGGAAAATTGATAGAAAGTGAGAAAAAGAGGATGTCCTAACCTTTAGACCGGATGAACTGAATAGTGTATGGGTTCTTTCGGTTTTGAGGAGTATAAAAACTTAAAAAGATGGAGAAGTTAGGGTTGTTTGCTTTAGTTATTAATGAGTGACTAAGATTTGATCAAAAATTCAAATGAAAGGTTCAGATTTAATCTTAATAAAATTTGATATAGGGTCTTGATTCATCTAGTAAAAGATGAAGGGTTGAGATCAAAATAACTTAAGTTTAATGGGTATTGGGTTTTGGATTTGGTTGGTAAAATATCTAATATGTTAAAAAAACTATAAAAAGTAAAACTGACAGTTTAAGTAGTCGACTATACTATAATGTAGTCCACTACACTATAGTTGACAGAGTTCTGAAAATTCGTGTTGAACTCTTATTAGTCGACTACTCTTCCTATTAGGGTCCGTTTGGATAATGGAAGTATTAGAAGTAAGAAGTAAGTTATAGAAGTAACTTTCAAAGCTATGAAGTAGGAAGTAGTGGAAATAACATTTTTTTTGTTTGTTTCATATATTTTTAGAAGTAATGAAAGTAGAACTTCTTCCTCTTCATTTACTTTTTTTTGTTTGGATAACATTTGGAAATATTATTAGGAAGTAATTTTATCAATGAAAAGTTGTTAGAAGTAACTAATAAAGGAAATATTAATAAAAAAAATTATTTATGTCATAATTAATATGCATTTTAACTACTTCCGAGCTACTTCTGAGTATTGAGGATTGGAAATATTTTGAAAGTAAGGATGACACGTAGGCGCCACATAAGCATTTAGGGAAGTATTGGAAGTAAGTTTTTCATAGAACCAAACACACTTTTTTGCTTGGAAGTAGCAGAAGTAGCCTTTACTTCTTTTACTTCAGCTACTTCACAATTACTTCCGTGCAAACAAACAAGCCCTTAGTGGACTACTAAGAAAAAATTACAGAATATTATATATGTAATTTATGTGCATGTAGTTGACTACTAACTTGATTAGTCGACTATTAAGGCTGAATATGCATATGTATTGATTTTAAAACTTAGTTTAAATCTTCCAAAAAACATATACCTAATTCTCTTCTTAATTTAACATACATTTCTTCTTTTAATGGTTTTGTTAATATATCAGCAATTTGTTTATCGGTTGAAATAAAATCTAAAGAAATAACACATTTTAGAACATTATCACGTAAAAAATGATGTCTTATGTCAATATGTTTTGTACGTGAATGTTGAATAGGATTTTTAGATAAATTAATGACACTAGTATTGTCACATATTATTGATGATATGGGACAAACTATAACATAATCAGATAATGTTTGTTTCATCCATAAAAGTTGAGCATATGTAAGACTACCAGTAATATATTCTGCTTCAGTAGTTGATAATGATACTGAATTTTACTTTTTACTAAACCAAGATACAAATGAATGTCCAAGGAAAATGACATGTACCACTTGCACTTTTTCTATCGAATTTACATCCGGCAAAATCAGCATCACTATATGATAATAAGTCAAATGTGCTATTCTTAGGATAAAATAAACCATAATATGTAGTGTTTTTAAGATATCTAAAAATTCTTTTTACTGCTTTAAGATGAGATTCTTTAGGATTAAATTGAAATCTAGCACATAAACATACACTAAACATAATATCAGGTCTACTTGTTGTAATGTAAAGAAGTGATCCAATCATACCTCGGTATAGTTTTTGATCAACATTCTTACCATTTTTATCTTTGTCAAGTGATGTAGTTGTACTCATTGGTGTTGGTTTGCTTGTTGTATTTTTCATTCCAAAACGTTTGAGTAATTCTATAGCGTACTTGCTTTGGTTGATAAAAAATCCTTCCTTTAATTGTTTGATTTGTAGTCCAAGGAAGAAATTGAGTTCACCCATGTGACTCATTTCAAATTCATCCTGCATAGTCTTAGCAAACTCTTGACAATGATCATCGTTAGTAGAACCAAATATTATATCATCTATATATATTTGAATTAATAGTATATCTTTATTTATTTTCTTTATAAAAAGTGTAGAATCAACTTTTCCAATTTCAAAGATGGAAATTAAAAAAAAATTAATCTATCATACCAAGCACGGGGTGCTTGTTTTAAACCATATAATGCTTTCTTATGTTTGAAAACATGGTTTGTTGAAAAACTTTCATTTTTAAAACCTGGAGGTTGTTCTACAAAAACTTCTTCTTTAATAAAACTATTTAGAAATGCACTTTTAACATCTATTTGATATAATTTAAATTTCATAAAACATGCAAATACAAGTAAAATTCTTATAGATTCTAAACGCGCAACTGGTGCATAGGTTTCATCATAATCAATACCTTCTTCTTGATTATATCCTTGTGCAACTAATCTGGTTTTGTTTCTAACAACTTGTCCATATTCATCTAATTTATTTCTAAATATCCATTTGGTTCCAATAATAGACTTATCTTGTGGTCTAGGTACAAGATCTCAAACATTATTTCTTGTAAATTAGTTTAGTTCATCTTGCATAGCAATTATCCAAAAATCATCAAGTAAAGCTTCTTTTATATTTTTAGGTTCAATAATAGAAATAAAAACAGTATGAGCAATCAAATTAAAATAAGATCTAGTAGTGATTTTATCAGAAATATTACCAATAACCAAATCATGTGGATGATTTCTAACTTCTACAGAATCCTTTGATAAATTATTTTGTAAATTATCATCTTTTGAAATATCTAGCATTGGAGTATCATGTATAGAATTAATTAAATCATCATCATTATTTAAAACAATATGTGTTTTTGTAAAACGCTCATCAAAAGAAACATGCATAGATTCTTCAATGACTAAGATTCTTTTGTTATATATTCTATAAGCTTTGCTATGGTTAGAATATCCAACAAAGATTCCTTCATCAGATTTAGAATCAAATTTGTCCAAGTTATCTTTTGTGTTTAAAATAAAATATTTACAACCAAAAACTTTAAAATAAGAAACTTTAGGAATTCTATCATAAAACAACTCATAAGGTGTTTTCTTTAAAATAGGTCTTAATAATATTCTATTTAGAACATAACGTGTTGTAGAGACAGCTTCCGCCCAAAAGTACTTTGGTAGGTTACTATCACACAACATGGTTCTAGCACATTCTTGTAAAGTTCTATTCTTCTTTTCTACAACTACATTTTGTGGAGCCGCGCGAGGAAAATAAAGTGTGAGAAATATCATTTTTATCACAATAATTTGCAAAAAGTTCATTCTCAAATTCTCCTCCAGGATCACTACGTATAGTAATAATAGAAAGAGACTTTTGTTTTTGAATCCTTTTGCAAAAGACAGAAAACTCATTAAAAGAATCATTTTTATGTTTAAGAAATATTACCCATGTAAATCTCAAAAAATCATCAACAAATATAACTGCATATCTGCTTCTATTTAATGATGCTACTCTAAACGGACCAAAAAGATCAATATAAATCAATTCTAGTGCATGGTTTACTTGTAGAAATTACATCTTTAGATTTGAAAGATGATTTATGCATTTTTTCTTGTTGACATGCATCACAAAAATTATCTTTATAAGAAAGTTTAGGTAAACCTTTAACAGAATCATTCTTAGAAATTTTAGAAATATGTTTAAAGTTAACATGACCAAAACATTTATGCCATAAAATAAAATCATTAGAAGATGCAAGAAGACAACGTCCATTAGAAATGTTCTTCACAGATAAAACATATGTATTATTTTTTTTATGCCCTTTAAATAAAACAGTAATCATATTAATATCATAAATTAAACAAGATTCTTTTTCAAAAATAATTTTAAAACATTTATCACAAAGTTGACTTATACTAAGCAAATTATGCTTAAGACCATCAACTAATAAAATATTATCAATAATAGGTTTATTTGGATTACCAATAATTCTAATACCGATGACCTTTCGTTTGTTGTTATCTCCAAAAGTGACGGTACCACCATCCTTATTTAGGCAAGATGACAATAATTGTATATTACTGGTCATATGTTTAGAGCAACCGTTATCCAAAATCCACTTATTTTTCTTAGGTACCTGAAATGATAAAAATTTATAATTTTGGTACTCATGCTATGTTGGGTCCATAAAATTAGCCTTTAGGAAACCAAACTCATGAAGAGTTTGATTTGTTTAAATAGTTATTTGATAAACAAACATCTTTAATAAATGCATAAATATAAGACTTTTTCTTTAATTAAGTTAATTTTTTAATTTAGGTACCCAAATGGATAAGTATTTTGATTTCTTTTCACATAAAACATTATCTTTAACATTATGTTCATGCAATTTAGAAGTTGGCTTTACAAAAGATGGTTTTCTTAGAAATATTTTTGTTAACATGAAAACACAAACCTTTTGTCTTTTGAGATTCTTTTTTATATGAAAGTAAATAATTAAGATTTTCTTTACCTTTATTGAATTTACTAACATTCAAACATATATCATTATATTTTAATTTAATAGAAAAAATATCTTTATCTAAAATATTAATGTGAATTTTTAAATCATTGCATTCTGATTTTAGATAAACATTCTCATTAGTCAAAATATGATTTTCTTTAAGCAATGATTTATTTTCCTCTTTCAATTTAATTACTTGAGAATTAGAAATAGTAGAAGAATTAAAATCAGAAATTTCTTCAAATAATCTTTTATTTTCACATTTAAGAAAATTATGTGAAGTCTTTAATCTTAAAAATGTTTCATATAATTCATTGAAAGCATCTAAAAGCTTTCCATTGTCACTTACTTCATCTTGTGCCATAAAACACATATGGGCGCTTTCCTTTTCTTCGATTTCTTCATCCGAAGACGAATCATCACTATCATCCTATGTAGCCGCCAAAATCTTCTTTTTCTTGTTGCTTTGAATATTGTTGAAGTTG